TGAAAACGCGCAAAATAAGTAAAGCGCAAGTTTATCAGATTCGTTTCGCGCTCAGATCAAGTCCGTCGACGATTTCGTGGCATCCGTGAATGCGGCGCTAAGAAGGAACGATGAAGCTGCTCAGTTGGTCCAAGCGGCCTCGCGTCTGGAGTACTACGACGTCGTGGATACCAAAGGGCTCGACGAGGAAGTGGAGAAACTGATAAGGATGTACAGCCATCTAGATATTACTACAGTACCGATGCCCGGTTGTCCAAAGGACAGTTCGAGGACTCTCATTCGGGAGGGAGACTTGAAGTTAAAAGACTCCACCACCAGCAAGGTAGATCGATAATGGAATGTTATAACTTACTTAGTCGATTGAAAATTGCTTTTATGTCGTAAAATATACACGCAGGAATATATGGTGCAAAGAATAATGTACGTAATTTTCGATAATAATCTTTGAAACGATAAAAAATAATTTTACTGCAATTTGTATTTATTTTACAAAATCCTTACTATAAATTTCGTCGAATCTCCATTTCTGTATTTAAAAAGCAAGCAGAGAATCTGTCAGATTACCATTTAACTTGGAAAAACGGTTTGTAAGCGGTCAGATACGATCCATATAATTATCCCTTTTTAGATGGAGGTGCACGTACTATTGTTAACCGACATGCTACTGATCTGCAAACTGTCGACGAAAAAAACGTTGAAGATCATTAGACAGCCGTACATTGTTGATCGCATACGGATACATGAGGTCAAGGAGCCGTCTAGTCTGGGATTGGTTTATCTTAACGAGTACGGGACAGTCTCGGCCGCTTTAATCCTCAGCGCCGGTGACCCGAAACTAGCTAAGGTAACTCGACAAACAGCCACCGCGAATTACGACGAGTTTCACGGGACTGATTCACCATCCCGATTTAGATTCCGTTTCGTAGTTCGTATCCTCGCCAACGACGGCTTTCACTTAATTAATGGTAACAGCTAAATCCGTTTTCCACTTCTCTTCTCAGATCATACACGCGCGATGTCACAGAATCAATTAAACTGCAACGGAGTGTAATTTAATTGACTAAAGTGACGTTGACATAATTGGCCGATGTCAGCGAAACCTGCACAGAAATTAATTTAAATGCTAGAAATTCCTTGATGCCCATAAAACATCTTTACGCTTACTCACGTGAAAATTTGTTTCGAGCTAACGGCACTGCTTTTTCCAGTCGTGGATGAAATCGTTGGAACAGGCCCAGAAACATTTCGCATCGATGAAAATTCCGTCGCTCGTCGGTGAGCCCGTGATGAATCTGGCGTCTGTCAGCAGGCAGCCGAGCACATTGGGCGACGGTGATTTCGAAGTGGAGGAGTATGACGGTATCTTCCCAAGAACTCCACGCGGCAGTAGCCGAGCTTCGCACGTCAGCAGTCTCGCTCACAGTCACAGGTACGTTGAGCGAAGAAGAAAAACTGTACGCGTCGAAGTCGAAAATAATTTATTATCCGTGACTGTAACGTAATGAGATTTCTCTCGTTTCTCTAGTGGTAGCATGGAGATGGAAGGCGCGTCTCCAGGCAGCAGCAGCTTCCTGCCGAGCTACAACCCCAGCAGGAACATCAGCGTGGAGACGAACGAGCAGCCGCGAGCGTCGAGCTCGCTGTCGTCGGAGGAAGGCGGCGAGTCGAGCTCCGGGCACAATCACCGATCTATGCACGTGAGGTGAGAGCGTGATCGACTTCACGACCTCGCGGTAATCGCGACGAACGTTAACGTTTTTCATTAAAACTAATTTGCAAACCCACCAGGCGCTCGATGATGAGTAAATCACCAACGCCGAACACGCTGAGCGTCCAGGTGCCGTACTCGAGTCTGGGTCAATCGCTGCCCAATCTGACACTGGCCACCTCGCCGCAGACTTCCACCGTGTCGCCGACGCCGCCGAACTCGCTGCTGATCGTGCCGCAGATGACCAAGAGCAAGGACACCCTGCTCTCACCAGGACACCGAGGTAGCAATTATCGACGCGGATCTCTCTCCGTTTGTCGCGTTCTTCCGAGGCCGAGGCCTTTCGTTGAGGGCCCTCTCTCACACGCGACGTAGTCACGCACGTTAGATGCACGCAGATTAGATCATAACGTGTAAATTACTATCACAAGTACGGATCGCCAAGCGCTCCTCTATTTCAAAACCATTTTAATGCCATTTGCTTGTTAGAAACAGCGGAATTGTCCATTCGGAGTTACGAGAGGCACGAGAGAAATGAACATCAAGGTTGTAATGTAGTTTAGTGTAGATTTTATTGAACGTAAAATATTGACGTACACGATAGAGTTATTTCAAATGCAGATATCGCGTGCTCGAGAACTTCAAACAAAACTGTTAAAACTTGTATTTTATCTTCTTGAAGGGAGAAAGCATGAGAGAATCTCTCCTAGAATTTTACTGAGTATTTATTTTATTCACAACTCAAGCCTAATTCATCTCATTTATCGAATCCACAAAGTAATTACTCGTAAGAAGATCGTAATATTTGCTAAGCGGATATCGACGATGTGCCACCAGGTATATCCTACCCACCGCCGTCGCCGCCGCGAGGTGCTCTCAGACGGGGGTTCGCGTTACCGCAGTCCCGGAATCCGCCCTTGTTGAAAACGAGGCACATAAACGCGTCTCTGACGCAACCGCTGCAGGTGACTATGGGTAATTCTGATAACGAAGTCATCGAGGAGAGACGGAGAAAGCTGGATCCGTCGCAGAGAGTACCGTCGACCAGCAGTATTGTCGAAGAAAAGGTATAACAGTTTTATTTATTAATTCTGAGAGAACTTTGTCAACTAAAGTTTTTAATATAATCGAGAACTTAGAGTTCTGTAAAACAATGTTCGATATTATTTGTTAATTTTCTATAATTTATATTATTAAAGGAATTTTTTTATAGCTGGTTAAAATTGTTATTAATTTTTCATTGTACTTGAATTTTGATATTTTTTTCGGGACGTTCGTCAATAACAAATCGCTATTATTGCTCGTAGAAATGACCTGCGTGTTAAAACTTGAAAGAAGAACTTCCCGAATGTTTGGTATGGATCATATCATCGACGTTGGATGTACGTGTAAAGGCTCGACGTGATATATAGTGCTCGACGTGAAATGTAATGCTCGAATGTACGTGATAGTATGTAATGCTCAGCGAGATGCATTCTGCTCTCTGTGTGGGTGCCGCACACACTTTCACGCAAAAAATTCGAGGAGCACTGATCTTCGAGGATTAATTTTCTCGCACTCTTTGGAATTCTACAAAGGGAGTCAAACAATACATTACAATCGGTAAGACGTCATCAGTAAAATATCGATAAAATGATACCGATAAGAGCGAAAATGTCCATTAAAAAAAAATGTTCCGCCTTTATAGATTGGGGCCATTCGAAATCAACGTGTGAAGTTACCACGGCCGTATCGCTACTTTTATCTCGTTATCTCCTTGTAACTCGTAGATGTCTTTTCTTAATAATTAAATCGAGTCCGAGTTGCCTATGATTAATATCGCATCGTCAGCTTTGAACCGCTGCGTGTAATATTAAACGCAGATTTTGACTTAGACTTTTAAGCGACGAACAGAAAGGCCTACTTAGAGTAATTACATTAAAATTTCATAGTAAATGTAGGGCCACAGCTAGCGTATAAGACGCCTTTATAAAGGAGTTCATTTAGGCGCCTAACGATAGAACAAAAGATATTTGAAAAATCGAAGAATTGAAAATTGATTTCGAGTGAGGAAACCAGCAATGTACAAAAGTTGGCGTCTTTCTTTTTCCGTTTCCTAATGTTGGGCACAATTGGCCCATCCAACGACCAAAGAAGAAGGAGAAGATCTTGAGTACAATTGCCTTGTTCAGGCTTAACTTAATGAGGAATAAGAGCGTAGGAAGACATCGAAATCTTTGAAAATAGTAGATTTTTTGCTGTTCATGTAAAGAAAAGCCTCAATTTGACGCTCGTGCGTTGCGATGCGGTGCGGTGCGATACGGAATCGATATCGCGCAATTCAGACATCGAAATGGAAACGGCAGCTACTTCGACCGTTCTATTTGGCTAATATTATTTCTGCCTAAAAATTTATTTTATTCTCCGTTCAATTATTTCGTTACTTTTAATAAGAAACAATTATGTTAACACATTGCAGTCAACGTGCAGTCAAAGATCATGAGGAATGTGCCGTAAAACGGGCCATTGTGCTATTTTCTGGCGCATCGCTCTCTAAAATTAATATTGAATAATAAAATAACGCAACGATTTATTTAACGTCGTAGAAGCTTTGATTGTAGCAGATCATTCATTTAATCGAGGAACAAAATGAAAAATTACTTTAAATACCTCCGTTTAAATCTTTCTTATATTTTTTTAAATTTTTTCTTCTCTAACGTCCCCCATTTTTCCCCTTTTATACGGCGTCCTTGTGCGATGCGCAATTGGCACATTGACTTGCGCAACGGTCTTGATGGATGTTAGAACTTAATAGATTTAATAGATGGGAGAAATAATAAACCTCTAGAGATCTTACCTAAAAGAAAAATCATGGACGTAACAGATGAATGAACGACAGTTATTCCTGCAAGACGTAAAGTAAACGTAAGAAAGAAGCTAAAGTACGTTATATTGAGCGAACGAATATCTCGAACAGATATGTATGTCAAGAGATATGTGTCATCTACAAAACAATATATAGCAATGTACATGCAACAATCAATTGCGTTTGAAACTTTGAAATGGGACTAACATCTGCTTCGTCCTTTTCGCTTGGCTTAATACTTTTTAATTCTACTTTCCGTTCAATTATCTCGTTACTTCCATGAGAAAAGACAACAATTATGTCGAAATGTTATGTGTTGTCAACGTGTCGTCAACGTGTCGTCAACGTGTAGTCGAAGATTGTCAGAAGGATGTCAGGACAGGCCGTAGACGTTGCGCTGTTTCCTGGCGGAAACGCGCCTTGGAGTGGAAGGACAAAGGACGAAAAAAAGGAACGCAAAAGAGGGATGTGTTTACTTTCAAGCACAAATCCGATTCGACGGCATCTCGCTTCGGGATGAAGACGACCTCGCCGATCGCAGGGTTGACCCTTTCGTCTCGATCGCTCGAAACGAAATTTCGCCAAATCAGATGTGTATTCAGAGTAAATAAGTATCACCTCTAGAGATAACATTATAGGTACAATAAAAATGTCACCTGTCTAGAGATAATATTACATAGAAGAGGAAGAGAAAGGAGATACAGAGAGAAACAGAGCAATGTGATTTTATACACAAGCTCCTGCTGTTCGGTTTCTCTCGTTCCCTCGATTCGTGTTGTTTGCTCTTGTAAATTTGAAGAATTAATTACTTCCACGAGAATACGAATCACATGTATGTACAATTATATTCAAGATTAAAATATAATTTATTAATCAAGCGCGATTATTGATGTTACCATCCATTCTATAATTCCTGAAGTTTTTATCTTGAGCGGCACTTGATTGTGTGCATCACTAATGCTGCGATCTCCCTATAATTTTGGTTTTGTAAATTTTTAATCGCAATTATCGTTCATCAATGAGGCCAACAGCAGTAATAGATTGAATGAAATACAGAGTTTCTGTTTTTGCAGGTATAATTGAATTTATTATGTTATATTCGATGAAAATATAGGCGCACTTTGCAATTTGACTCACACTGATGTACAGTCTAGACTTAATTAATTTACCCTCATATTTTAGTTATAGAATATCTTATATCAACAATTCTGAAACATCTTGAAAATATGTTTATCTCCAACAGCACATACGCATAAAACATTCATTTGTATCGATCATTCCAATATCCCACCTGCATAAAATGAAATTATTTATATATTACTATTTATACTATGTATATTACTTAAGCCCATAAAAATATTTTCTGTGTCTCATATATAATTACAAAACGATCAACGATTAAGAGATACGACGGAATAACACGATCGCGAGTACACATAAATATGTCGTAACAATGTTTCCTTTAGCACAAATAGACATTTCATATATATTTTATTACAAACTCTTCAACATATATAATAAAAACGTGGAAACATGTAGGCTTATCGTGGCCACCATAATGAGATACCATTGAAAATTGGTCTGTTACGAAAATTTACGTCACTTAAAAAATTCGCTGTGTCGTAAAATATCAAAATAAAATTGTAAAATTAATAGTACCTTACGGACTGAGCATTTAGGTGTTTATATCGAACGCACGAGCAATTAATAATGTCAACATTTTCCAATTTCCTCCGGGCGTGAGACAGGCCGGTTCAGATAGATCAATAATCCCTGAAAATTCAATAGGTTTTTTAATCGAGCTCTCAATGCTATCTCATTGGTATTATAGCCAAATGCTATAATATATCACAAAACTCGGGTATAAAAGCAGGAGTAAACAGAAAGCACAGAGATTAATTAAGGTTCTGCAGTCACGTGATTGGCCAAACTTTAGGCCCTTACACTTAAAAAATGGCTCGAAATAAAAAATCACATGTATGCAATTCTTGTTGCTTAGTTTTGTTTTCCGCATACTTTTCTGTCGTTATACCCAAATTCTAACATTCTGTATAAATAAATATAATCAGTACAACAATTGCTAATTAGGACATACGTAATAACGTATATCATTACTGGAAGTGATATTAATGTATCTATCCTGGTGAAATTTTTCTTAGATTTCTTCGCATAATTTTTTTTCTATAATAAATTTCAAAATTTTCCGGAATTAAAAAAATATTTTAAAATTTCTAAGATTTCTCATTTCGTAATTTCTGAAGAAAACAAAAAAACTGAAAAATTAAGATATTTTTTTGTTAATTTTCTCTCACGAATTAAAATGTGAAAAATTCTTAAATATATTATGATATGAGAATTTTTTTCACCAGGGTATGTCTATGAAAAATGATACCTTGGCGCTCATCTGTGTATAATATCATGTCTAATGTTGTTACACATATGGACACAATCACTACACTAATATTATACATCGACTTTCCGCGCAATTTTGCATCATGCAACAAAGACTTCTATGACACAGCTCGACGATAATCATCGCCGTTTCATTTAATATTAACACAATTCCAATTACGGGAACAACTTTCTAAGCCCGAGGTCCGAAAGGGCGACGACAGTGCGTTTCAACATGTTGCAACTGACGGAACAACGACGGGTAATAGTGGACCATTGGTGTTGCCTCCTGTCGTCGTCACAACGAGACGGCGCGTCCGGGTGATCAGCGTTGCATGATGACGACGATGACGGTGACGACGATGATGGTGACGACGATGACGGCGTGGACGGCGATGACGATGACGACGAAGACGACGACGATGATGATGGCGATGACGACGGCGACGGCGGTTCATCCTGAATCGAGGCAGAAGACGTGGCTGTTGACAACGGCAACAGAGTTTGTATGTCCGATGTCAGGCAAGATTTAGCCGCGTGATCGAGATAGCAGTTGCCAACAAACAGAATCGTTCGTCCTATGAGGATAAAATTCACTCGGCACAGTTCCTAGAACGAGAAAATTTTGGGATATCATTACAGATTCTTTTAGCATCTTTCTCGTTTAGCCCTGCGTAATATTGATAGTATCTATGGCTCTAGCTCATAACAAAATATGACAATGTTGAGAACAGCAGAGAATTTTTTTTTAGATAATCATATTTACCTGAAAACTGCACGGCGATGGTAAGTCCCAGCTGCACGGACGACGATCTGAGAGAGAAATCCGTCAGCAATCATTAGTCATGTCTTGACACGTTCTGGCATCGCTGCGTTCATCGGCCAGAGCATCGAGAATATCCAGCAAGAGCTCGCGGCTTAATTGTCTTAATCTTGGAAGCCTAGCAACCTGAATAAAATGCGATACATGCGTATAAATATTAACGATGTTATACATCAAACGTATACAGGATCTGAACATTTTTTTTTACCTTGCTAAAATGATGAACTATCAGATTCAGGGCGTACTTCTTCATATCGGTAGCTTGCATCCTATCGGCCGCCTCCAGAATCTGTATAACATTCTCGAAAGTAACGTTCATCTCGAGATTCTGTTTGCAAAACGCCTGGAGCCGGTTGTTCGTGAAGCCATAGAACGACGGCACGGTGAACAGGTACAAGGAATCCTCGGGTGGCATCGAGACATCCGCGAAATAAATGTACCTCATCAAGGATTGAAACGATTCGGACGACGGTATCATCTCGCCAATTTGTATCTGCGTAAAAGTCATCACATTCGCGTTAATTTATAATTGTACATGTGAAATATTGCACTAAAAATCTCGCTCTTGCCTCTCGTTTAACGAGAGATTCGTCAGCGATACGTGCTTTCCTTCAATAAATTACACGAACTTACGTTCACCATATTATCTTCGGGCATGAAGGATCGAAACATTGCTTCGAAATAGCTGCATCGCGCCGCAAGGATGGCCTTGTGCGCCGGTATCGGCTTACCGTTCAGTTTTAACGTGATGTCGCAAAATTCCCGACCGACACTCTTCAGAAACGCTTCCATATCTTGCTCCATGCTGGTTCCTAGCGCGAGCAAAATACCATAACGTAAGAAACTATACTCTACGGTAAAAAAAAAAAAAACGCGTATCGCGCGTGATATACCTACCGGTGATAGATTCGTATTCGTACTTCGTGAAAGTTCTACTCTGCGGCATCTGCCGACGCCTGATGATCTCTACCATCAGCGGTTGATCCAGAGTCTCGAACTCCTGGCTCATCACGATCAGATTGTAGTTGTTTTCCTTCACGACGAAGCTAAGGCAAAACTCCTTTATGAAGTGCAATCCCAGCTGCACGGCGTTGCGCAACGCCTCCAAAACGTTCTTGTGGCTTATGGTCGCCTCGAGGTAGTTGACGCACAGCTGTTCCAATCGTATCATATTGAACTGTACGGCGAGGCGATACACGTCCATCATAAGAAGTACAATGCGATTGCTCTGCGGATCTTCGACCTTCTCGTCCGGTCCTTTGGTAGGATCAATACGATCGGTGTAAATGTAGTTTAACACCATTTTGAAAGCTTCCGGCTCGGCATCTTTTAATCTCACCTGCAACGCGAAAGCCGAATTTATGAAACTACCGAGAAATATAGACAAGATTTTCACAGTAAATATATTTCGTCAGTTATATTTTTTTCTATCTTTCATGAACTCGTTAAGTAAATATCATTTTTTTATTTTTTATTTTGACTGAATTTACCTCCAATAGCGGTAGTTCCTTGGTGGACACGTTAACGAATTGTTGTTCCAAACACTTGTCCCGCGATTCGCGCGCTTGCCGAATGCGCAACCGGAGGAATTGCGAGCGCGCCGCCACCATGGCTACGTGCGCCGGTATCTTGGTCCCCAGCTTGCCCACTATGAATTCCACGTCGCAGAAGAGGCTCATACTCAGCAGCCTGCCGAAATCGTCGTGCAACGTGCATTTGGGATACGACGAGAATTGGAAGCGGTACATCTCGGCGGAGCGTATGTTGTTGTCTATGGTTCCCCCAAAAATGAACATCGCATCTCCAATCACGGCGGCGGCGTGGAAAAGCCGACCGGGAGGTACCTGTAGGCGCGTATTTATACATCATTAAAATAAAATCTCTTGCAACATATGTCATTGTGAAAGACAGATGCATCAAGGTGAAGCCTCCAGACCAAGCAAAGAGCGCGAACAAATTAGCAAATTTATTTGTCAATAAATGTGCATTGCGCCACGAGTAGAATAAGTACAAATTTACATTGAGAAATACGTTCTATTAGTAAATAGTTTGTAAAAAAAAACTTTTTATATTCGTTCCCGTCAATAATCGTTTGCCTTTGCTTGAATTCATCTTTGCTAGTCACCTACCTCGCTATCTGTGGACGGTAAGAGAACGTTCCACGTTTGTGTATCGAGATCGTAACAATGAAGATCATTGGACAGAGCCGAGTCAGCCGCACCGCCGAAAACGTAGAGATGACGATCGAAACTGACCATCGTATGACCGTATCGTCGTGCAGGAGGCGGCGGCGCGCCACGCAATATGTGCTCCGTCGATATGCGTGTCCACCTAGAAAAGATAAATTTACAATCCACGCGAGCTCGCGAATTACGACGTAATGCAATTTACGCGCGTTACAACGAAATTTACCGTCTCTCCTTGAAGTGAAACTGGAAGAGGCTGTTAGTTGTCCTAGCTCCGCTCTGCCCGCTGAAAACGAACATTGATTCTCGGGCCACCGTGACGGGGAAATTGCAACACGTCGGTGGACGTTCGCCGACCTGAACGACCTCCTCCCACGCTTTGAAATCACCAGGCTAATGACAGGCATCATCGAATGAGTGTAATTAAAACTGATATATGGATTTATGTGAACTTAATATCACATATTTATTAAATATATTTTGGAAACATTTATAAAGCATCTATTAAAAAAAAAAAAAACATATCCTACCAATAATGATATTGTCCACATATCGTTCAATCTGGCATTGCCATCGTAGCCCGCAAATATCCATAATTTATTATCATATACAGCGGCACCGTGAGCAGATCTGGGCACTGGAGTCCTGTAAATGTATTACAGTTAAATAAGTTTGATTAAAAGAATACCATAAAATAAAAGAGGAAATGTTAGAAATGAGGAAATTCTTGCGATATAGGTGATACTTGCACTCCAATAAATCTCCACTCTATCCACTGAGCAGTCTGGAAGCGATACTCGAACAGATCATTCTTATTACTAAGATTGGAGTTGGAGTGTATGTCCCCGGTGTAACCGCCGAACACGAACATCGACGAGCCGTGAACCACTGCGGAGTGGTGGTAGCGCGGCGCGGGCGGGGTGCCGGTTGCAAACGCCCTGCCCCAGGACTTCTCCTTCACGTCGAAGCGCAGCAGATCGTTCAGCATCCTCTTGCCGTTGTCGCCGCCGAAAACGTAAATAGCATCCTTGTATCCCACGATGGTGTGCTTGCTGCGCCTGCACGGAAGAAGACGGAAGAAAAGGGATAATCAATCGGATTACACTGTTGACAGCTACTTCCTGCAAGTCTATTCTCGGAACGCCGAACAAAAAATTTATCTGAACGAACGTATAAATATAAATTGCGTCGAGACATTGACGCCTTTGAAAATTGTACGTGGAAGCAGTACGGAATGGGGAGAGCTGGACTCGTACATGAAGCAAGTGCGGGCGGACACCGCGGATTGCCTACCTGGCGCCGACGAATTCGTCGCACTCCGGCATGCGCCGCCATCGGTGCACCGTCTCGAACGGGCCGAAATCCAGGGTCAGACACTCGGCGGTCGCCACGTTGTCCATTTTCGCGCGGCCGCGGACGCGGCGTCTCATTCAACGGCGGGGTAGACGCGGACCTTGGCCCACGGAGCTTAACCTACTACGACGCTCCTCCGCGTCGGGCTCGGCATAACACCCCCGCGCGCGTGCGGGCGGGCGGTCGGAGGGACGGGATCAACGGCTCTTCCGAAGTCAACGGCTGGCCGCGGGTACGGCCTGACGAGGAGACGTACTTGACGCGCACCCAGCGAGAGACGGCGAACGCGCGCCGTTCGGTCTCAGGCCATCGCACGGAGCACGGCGCGCGAAATCGCTCCGCTGTCCATCCGGATCGGCGTGCTCACAAACGTCAAAAACATGTGTGCCGTGACTGCCGTACGCGCGTAGATCGGCGGAATCAATAACCGGCCGTCCCTTCTCTTTGTCAATTCCCTCCGTAGTCCGAACGTATCCCACTCCCACTCACACTGCTCACACAGCGCTTTCGCCAACGTGACGTAAAAAATACCACCCTCCTCCCCCCCTCCCTGCCCGTCTGAACCGCGCTCGCCACCGCGCACGTCGGCATCAATGAAAATTTGCATATAGCTATACGTGAAATCATTGAGGGGTCGGGCATATCGGGCGGAGCTGTGTGCGTGCATGTGTGTGCGGTTTGACGTAAAATCTTCAAAATTTCTCTAGTTAAAGAAGAATTATGAATGAAGTTGACATTTTAACGAGTAACGTCATACGAATTCCACCGAGCCTTGTGAATTACCTATGTCTTTTTAATTACATACGCGAATTATAATTAATTACAGATGCCGTGTAACGAAAAAAAATATTAAACGTCAGATTTTCTTCTTGACAATTGTTTATACAATTTCTTTCCTGAAACAAAGTCGTTTGCAATTCTTTTATTTACAATCAGAATAAAGATATCAGCTATATTGCTACGACAAAGTACATTTTAATTAACAATCGTTTTTCGCGAAAATTATATATATAAAAAAAAACAAGTTGCTTACAATAAATGACAAATCTTGGAGAGAAAATAGAATATTTGACAAATTTTGCAACTTTAAATAAATCGTGTATATATTTCGTATATAATGTGCGAAGCTACAAAAATTTCTTGCGTGCAACAAAAGATGTGCAGTAAACATGATCAACAGATGTAAAATTCATCTATAGCATAAAAAATGTTTATTAAAAATTGTTACCCCTCTGTATATATTATGTATATATGCCTATTTTAGAATTATTCTCTTTAAACTCGAAGGTTCGAAAAAAAGGAATGGGGGAAGATCGGCAGATTAGGCTTAATTATTCTTAAAAAAAACTGAACATTAATTGTAAATTACAAAGTAGGTTTGCATAATAACAAAACAAACTAACGGCAATGTAAAAGTACGTGAACGATATAATGTTAAATTATTATGCGTAATTCGTGTGTATATGTGTGTGTGTGTGTGTATGTGTGTGTGCGTGCGTGCTATAAATAGTTGATAACAAAATGAAGGTGAGAATGTAATGATTATTTCTCTACTTTTCTTTCTTAGTGCAGTTATTTCAAGGAAGATATATTAGCAATCGAGGAATATAGTTCGCACATGTCATTTGTATAGACTATATACAATTGTCTTTCGAGAAACCAAGTTCTCGCATCTATGTGGCAGTGAAGCACTCAAAGCTATTATGTTGCACAAATACTTGAAACAAAAAGATCCTTTTCGTCAATAGAGTCACACTGTTATGATTACATATATATGTACATGTATTTCTTGGGGGAAGGTAAGAGAGATACGTCGTTCTTTCGTAGCTACGTATCACAATCGCTTCAACTAGGAACTCTTGATCTAATATATATATATAGAAAGTCCCAGCTCAATCGCTGTCAATAAATACCACATTCGGGATTGGATGAGGCACATGCTACGAGATTTGTCTGCACGATTACGCAATTTAAATATCGATAAATCTCATGTGCCATGTTGGTATGTGCCTCATCTGATCCCGGCTTTCGTAGAAGCGTTTCGCAAAGGCGCGTGTTTAATCGCCGAGTACACCGCGCCTCGCCTGTAAAAACAATTTGTACAGATAAAAATTCAACACTTGCTATATAAGTTCCTTCATAGGAGGAACGTAAATTGAAATAAATCTTTTGTACAATGTAACGCGATTGTACAGAAGATCTATCTCAATTCTAATTGGAAGTGTTATAACGCCAGCCATGGATGGTGACGAATGGACTCGCGACTTCGGTCACCGTAATCATACGATATCTCCACGCCGATCGGTATGTCCTCCTTCGCCGTAAGTACCAGATGCGGTCTTGAGTTAACCTCGACGATCCGCGCGATTAAATTGCCGGTTCTCGAGTGATTCACCAACCTGCCAAGTTTTTTCGTCTCCGCAGTTGCATCAACACTGAAATAAAAAGCCACATATGTTAGCATGTACACGAATTTTTTATGTCTCAATCAAAATGACTACGGGATCATAGAAAGATTATTTTATCGAACAATATTATTTTCTTACCAATACTGCTGATTACGATGTTGAAAGTAATACATGTAGCATCCGGTATTTTGATCTTGCGCGTACATCTCCTCACGCTCCTTCGCCTCCACCTGGTTGATCAGTTCGCCAATGTATTCCACTACAAACTCGCCTTTGGCAAATTCTCGTGTCGTTATAACACCGCGACCTTTACCCGAAAAGTTTTTGACCTGTAATAGGAGATTGACAATTTGTTTCAGTTGCTTAAAATGTGCAAACTAGCATTCCTATTAGAACTCGATTGTATACACAGGTTCGTACCTCTAAACCATCCTCCACTTGGCAGAGCACCTTATTTTCTAGATCACGCTGCTTCTCCTCTAACACAATCTTCTTGCTCTTTCGTACACTACGACGTACCGGAAAGTAGTCGGTAATCGAGTGATTTGTCGCGACGCCCGACGGCTTTGACAGGCGATGGCCGAGGGACTGATTGGAAGTTCCTTTTTTACGTCCGCGTGGAGCCGGCTTTTTCACATGTAGCGGACTAAGTAATGTAATCACAGATTGCTTTTCCTTAGTAGTAATTGTAGCTCCGTCATCTAAATCTTCCGATGGCATCTTTATTCTATGTGGCGTAGAAGGCGTGTGAACTGGAACAGCTACTGGTGTCTCTGGAAAATCAATTTCTTTACATATCGTAAATTAAATTAAGAAGAGAAAAGATGCATATATTTGCGTATATAAACAGAATTGCGATTATTACCGTCGGTTTTGAATTGTTCTACATAAGGGGTAATCTCCTCCTTCACTTGAACACAAGTCGAAACAGTTTGCGCATTATCGAAAAGATGATGGGTAAGCGGACTTTTCCCTTTCGTAACTTCATTTGAATCCTGTAGCAAAAATGAAATTACATTGCAGTACATGTGATTTGATACATATATTTTGTAATTTATTTATATACAATTATTAAGACATGCGATTTGATATATATTTTGTAATTTATTTATGCACAGATATTAATGAAGAGACAATTGTTTTTAAAATATAAATTTTAACAAGAAATACTTACTTGATTATAAGAGTAAACTTTTTGTATAGAAGATTTGCATGTTTCTAGTACCGATTGCGTTTTGTCAAATTTATTTGTCACTTGTTCGGTGGTACCCAGTTTGTTTTCATTTTTCAGTAAACTTGCATCGTTGCTTGCTAAAGTCTTTGCGCCATTTTTTATTATTCCATTCTTCCGTTTTCCTGTGTCAATTATTAATAACATTTTAATAATAATATAAATTTCTGAGATTGATAAAATTATAACTTATTATATAATCAATGATATACATATATATTAAATATGTAAAATATATAGAACACAAAAATATGCATGATTAAGGTACATGATGATAAGAAATAAATTTTTTGTACAGTGTTAAAATAATAAATAATAATATTGATATTGATAAAGCTCTGGATGAAATTCATAAACAATTCTAACAAAGAACTCATTGTGTTTAAGGTTGTTCCAAGGCATTAGGAGGCAAAAGAGATAAAAAAAGAGCAACGACAATTCGACGAGTGAAATGACGATCGATTCGAAATTTATACAGCGACCATAAAGCTACTTAATTCGAAATCGCGAAAGAAGATAAAAAGAAGCGTAGAAAAATCCGGAAGAAAACCACGGTCGAAAGCTAATCCCACTGCTCCATGCGGAATAACCGTATAAAACTGTCATCCCAATTATCGTACTCCATGTTAGTTTAGAATTCTAACCCGATGCTCCAGCCCAGTTCCGCGTGTGTCACGAGCGTGACGGCGAGGACCGTCGTCGTCGAAACGGCGGTGCCGCGACGAGCATCCCGGCCGTCGTCTCGCGATATTCAATCAAACTGCAGAGAATTCGACGCGCATCAAAATAGGCGATAAATGTTGCGCGCGTCGAGACGCAGGGAACGGAGGCGGTCGCGGATGGACGGCGCGGCGGAGGAGAAAGGGAGGGCCGCCAGCGTCTTCTGCGACAGCGTTCAAGATGGAGCGAGGGAGGAAGTGAGACCCATCGAAAACATAACCTGCCTCCGGCGGGGCCGGTGCGAAATGCTTGAGTGAGAGCGTCGTCGCGCGGCGTATTCTCACCTCTCGCGGCGCCGACGGCGCGATTTCCCACGCAGTGGGACGTCGCGCGGGTCACCCGTCGCATGATGAGCCACGAAAACGGGACGGCAGAGTAACTTGGGAGTGAACCGACCGCGGGCGACACTGGCAGCAACACGACGGGAGCGAAGACGTCACCTCGTCTCGCCGGCGTCGTCGCGCGGCGTCGCGTCGTTTCACGAGCGACGGGGACGTCGCGCGCACGATACACCCCGCGAACGCGGTTCACGAGCTCCCACGGGCGCGGAGCCGACGACGTGCGATGTCACAAACAACGCCGAGCAAGCGACGTGCCGCCACTGCCGCCATGTTGCGTCCGCCGCGATACGTTCCGTTACACGGATGACGCGTCACGACGGTTACCCGACGTCCAATAGGAGAACGCGCCTCCTGGGAATCTCGCCCGAGGACGGGAAACGTCCCTAGGAAACGGAGCTTGTCATTGGACAATGTCGAGCGCGACGAGTGCGACGACCGGATGCGAAGCAAATTTTAAAATGCCTGCTTGAAGCATTCATAATGCCCGTTGTACGATCAATAACACGAAATTATTCCACGACTGCAACGCGTAAATTGCTTGAATGTCTGAAACGGAAATTTAATCTGTCGTAATTTATACGTCGCGAGAGAAACGGGAACGTGTTTCTCCTGCTGCAACGGATATATAAAATTATTTTTAATTCTTATATTTTTACATTCTCTTAAGTTGGTAAATAATAAAATAACTGTAGTCTAGACGAAGTCTAGTGTGCACGAATAAGTTCCGTTGCTCAAAAAGGATTCTAATCAAATGTATTATGTTCAATCTAATTACCGTTGGCTCATTAACAGTCCCAAACGCAATTCAATGGGCGGCATTAAATAATGAATCATTCGCGTATCGAGTTATCGCTGCCTGGCGATACGCGCGGGGGCGGGGAATGAAATTACCGCCCGATGACGGCTAGTTGGCGCGCGTGCCGCGCCGCGGCGCCACTGGCAGCGCGCAATGCGGATCGATCGCCGCGCGCGCTCGCTCGCGTAGATATTATATTATTTTTTAGACGGATTTATCGGCCGTCGCGCCGCGGGGAGCGACGCGCGAGTGACTCGCGTCGGTCGGCGACGCTGCCGGGAGTCCCGCGTGACGCGCGGCCACGCGGAATTCGCGCTCGCGCGGCTCCGCTCGGCCGCCGCGCGCCGAATTCGCCCGGTGCGGCTTCTTTTCTTTTTAGCGCGAATACTTTAAATTCGCCTAACGATCAGCGCCGCACGCAGCGGCGGCGTTGCCAAGCGTACGCCCGCCGTCGCCGTGCCCCCGCGCGTACGCCCGGGAACGCGCGGATACGTGACGCGCGGACGGCGTGGTCCCTTGGAATCCGCCGGTGGGTCACCGCGAATCTGGTGGTTTCGAAGATAATAGCAGAGCACATTACCGACTGTTCTTGTCGCCGACGTAATTCCGAACGTTTAGCCTGTGAAGCAGCATTGATTTTATAATCTACTCTTATCTCGATGTTCATCGGATATCCATGCATACTCGCAATGCGAAAGTATCATGTATTTCTGTAAAAATATTATGCTGCAGTTATCATTCGCGCGTGCTCCGATTAGCGTTTCTTACTCCGGCCGCAGGATTTTCCAAGAGGGCGCGGCTCGTTCACGAGGCGGGCAAGTCGCGCGAATTTTCGTCCGACCGGCGTCATTCGGTAGCGCCTCGTCGATGGTGATATACAGCAGCTTCGTGTGTCGTCTGGTGTCGTCGTCGCAGTCGCATTGTAATCGCCGTATACACGTGCTCGAACAAACAGGTCTACGTTAAAAAACGCCGCCAAAGTCTGCGCTTAACCCGCCGATCGTTCGGGCCTGCCACGTAGCGCTTCACGAACACGTAGGACGCGAGACGACGTCGTGAATTTTGGAATCGCCCGTTAGAAATGGTACGTGCACTAAACGACGAAACTAATACATAATTGATACTCTTTTTTTTTTTTTTAAATAGCACCGGTCGCAAGCAAACAACCGACTACCTAATAAACGCGCCTCGACCTGCAGATCCCCGTATTCTGTAACGAATATCGAATACTGGAATCGCTCGGGGGAGATTCGTCGCGAATCTCCCGGAGCGATCTCTAATTTAAAAATCATGCGGGGAGTACGCGAGAGCGTTTCGATCAAGGAAACGCCGACGGACGTCGGATTTCCCCGCGACCGCTCCCGTTTTCTCGCGACATTCTTCCCGGAGCCGCGGCCGCCGGGAACAAATCTCGCGCTCCCTCCCTCCCTCCCTCCCGCCCTGAGCCGGTAGCGGCCGGTCGTGAAAACGCGGCGATTTTTCGGGCTCGCGCGCCCTACGAATCTGCCCTTTCTCTTCGCCGCGATCGGGATCCGGCAACAGCGCGCGTCCGGCCGGTGGCGCCGCCGGGCGGCGGCGACGCGCGATCCGGACGGGCGCGCGTATGTTTTTGTATCCGCGTTTATACATTGCTCCGTTCTCACGCTGGGGTTGGCATGGGAAGGGCGCGCGGGGGAGGGGAGAATGCCGGGCGATGGGACGGGGTTCAAGATGGCGGCAGCCGTGCAGTCGAGCGAACGCGCTCTCGAGCTGTGAACCGCGCGAACGTTGCTTCACCAACGACGACGACAACCGCGTGAAATGGACCGGCTCGCTCGTGGATCGTCAAAGTCCGTCGCGCCGATCTCGTAGCTCGCGCAAGAACACGTCGCATATGTAATATCCGGCGATGCTCGCTTGACATTGCACGCGTTCCTCGATTCTTGAACCGGGTTTCGAAAGAAGAAAAAAAAAGAACGAAAAAGATATCCCGTCACTCGCTCGTCTCGGACCCGCGAACATCCTCTCGGAGTACACCAGCGAGATTACGCGCTCGCCGGAGTGTCGTCGTCGTCCTCGTTGTCCTAGCACGTCGCCACACGTCGTGACGAGATAGCGCGCGAGGTCTCGCGGGCACTTGGTTTGTCATGGTAGGTTTTTTTTATTATCAATTCCGTGAGAAAGATTGAAAAGAAGGATAGAGAGGGAGACGGCGGTACATTTCCAAGTCCAGAGCACGCGCTTCCTGTTACGGGCTAGCGTGTAATCCGATTGTACCCGTTTTCCCTCGTCTCTACGTAGAGGGGCAACTAACCTAGAGACACTCCTGTGCATGACGCCCTTTTTTTTTGCTCTCTCATGCCGAACGGCAGGGATTCACGTCCTAATGAGTCACCACGCGATCGGGATTACAATCGATCGTTTGTTCGTCGATAGGAATTCGATCAATTATTAATTACTTCGAATTTGACGTGTATCTGTATGATGCGTGTTTCATTTAAGGTGTCACTGAAATTTGCAGCAGAATGCCAATTAGATTTTAATAATTGATTTATGATTCCAATATTTACTTAGATAACTTTAGGACAGTTTGCTATTCTCTGGACTATTTTAGAACTTTTTTTCTCACCAAATATCAAACGTATTTTAGTACAAAGAGTGTAGGTACATTAGTTCAGCTGTAAAAAAAAACAGATCTTTTATTGTTCTTTTGAAGGACTCGCATCTTTTGTTGCAATTGACACCGTATGGCTAATAACTCTCATTATTACCTTTTATCAATCTTACAATTCTAATTCTAATATTTACTTTTTAATTTAATTTTTGACAAATTGAACGCTATAGTTTTATCATAAACGAGTATTCTTATAGATGAATTATATGCTTTTGTTCTCTTTTGTATCTTTCTTTTGATTCCGCTTTTATAATTCAAGTGGAATCTTCATTATGACCTTTGAACATATATGTTCTAATTCTAATATATATGTTTTTTAATATATGTTAAGATTATGACATGCATTTTTGCAGGCAACAAAAAATGATGATGGAGTTAGCGATGATACCAGTGGGAGTGACTTCGACGATGAAGAAGATCCTGATAAAATTGAAGTGCCTGGTAAATTTATGAAATATTTATACTTTGCATATATTTTATTCTAATAAAATAATATTCTAATAAATAATATTCTAATAAAATATTCTAACCCTTATTTTACACAAGATAATGCAATTACTCTTACATAACATTTTAAAACTTAATACAAAAAACTATTTTTACTAGGTGGGGGTAAAGATCTTGCAACTGCCGCTGTAATTGGAAGTATCAAAGATGAGAAGTCGATATTGCCGAATGCGGACTTGTCGATAAATCCTTTGGATAAAACTCAGGGGGCGTTAAACGGTTGGTTATATATATAATATTTAAAGTAATGCCAATATATGCTTTGTTTATTTTTTATAAAAAATTATTTTTTTTTTTTTATAATTATTTTTAGAATTAAACCAAAAATTTGGTAATAAAATTCCTGGAGGATTAGTGACTAAAGCTACACCACCAGGTTACGAAATGGTGCATGTAGGAGGATCTCAAAGCACCCCATCGGCTGGTGGATTTGTTAACGCGAATCAATTGAATCAACTGAATCAGTTAGCAGCTGGTGGTTATCCTGCTGGTTTTCCACCTGGATTAGCTCTTGCAGCAGGATTCAACCCTGCTGCTTTCCTTCAATCAAGTACGTATTGTTTTTTTGTCATTGAATTTTATACGAAAATTTTTTTTCTGCAATTTAGGTTTTAATGTTTCTTTTTTATATCAAGATGTATGTACAAATATTATTTATGCACATACATCATACTGATGAGTTTTAATTAATGTTTATTAATATACTTAAATTTGATCTTACTCTGATACATGTCAAATAATAAATGAGAATATAAAGTAAAAAGAGAATTTTTATGTGCTGATTTAAAAATAATTTGAGAGGAAATTTAATATTAGGTTTATATCACAAAAATTTGAAAATTTATAAATATTTTAAATTGTCATTTTTGTTTGTGATAATATACATGCATTGATTATATTACAATAATATTAAATTAATTATTTCCTAGGTATGGACATGAACGCTTTAATGGGTAGTTTTATGGGTATGCCTGGAATGAACATGGGAGTCAATCCTTTTGTACAGTTTCTCAATCAAAGTGGAATTCCCAATTGGGCAGGACTTCCAGGTATTTGCGTTACTCTAATAAAAATAGTCTGATAAAAAAAACATCAGTCTGATAATGAACATCTTAAGAGGTAAACTCATACTTGTAAACTCATATTTGTAATTTTATTACAGGGAAAACGGTGTCACAGATGTGGATGAATGCAGGTGATCCAACGAAATTAATGCAACCAAATATTCCAGAGGAGGAAGAAGTAGACGACGAAGATATGGGTGTCGCTGAGACTTATGCCGATTATATGCCAATGAAACGTACGATCAATATTTCTTTTAATTTATTTTTAATTCATTTGCGCTGTTTGTTTTAATTATTAAAGTTTACGATCAACAGTGAAACTCGGGCGAAAGCATCCTGATCCGGTTGTGGAAACGGCATCATTGTCAAGCGTCGAGCCAACGGACGTTTGGTACAAGCTCTCCATACCGGAGGAGTCGATACGAACCGGTGCGCTCTCCGCCCTTCAACTAGAGTCCATCACGTACACCTCTCAACAACACGAGCATCTCTTACCCGACGGCACACGCGCCGGATTTCTGATCGGCGACGGTGCGGGTGTTGGTAAGGGCAGGACTATAGCCGGTATTATATTCGAGAATTACTTGAAGGGTCGAAAACGTGCCATCTGGGTGTCGGTGTCGAACGACCTCAAATACGACGCCGAGCGCGATTTGAAGGACATAGGTGCATCGAAAATAGAAGTACGTAACTTATCTGTGTCAAATTGTATCGAATATATTGTCGGAATATCAAAACTTTGATTTCGCGATGAATATTAATTATACATTTTAATTATTTGAAATAATGAAAATCAAATCAAACTACAATGATTAAATCGGGATTGCAGGTACATCCTTTGAATAAATTTAAATATGCGAAAATCTCGTCAGCTGTGAACGGTAACGTGAAGAAGGGTGTGATCTTTAGCACGTATTCTGCATTAATTGGCGAATCGTCGCAGAGCGGTGGGAAATACAAGAGCCGATTAAAACAGTTGTTGCAATGGTGCGGCGAAGATTTCGACGGTCTGATAATTTTCGACGAGTGTCACCGGGCGAAGAATCTGTGCCCTACCGGAAGTTCAAAACCTACGAAGACAGGTTGGGATTTCTTACGCAAAGATTATTTTTTTAAGCGTTTTTACACGGCTAATGGCTTCATTTTATCGATGATATAAAACCTTTGCAGGATTAACTGTCTTGGAACTGCAGAATAAGCTTCCGAAGGCTAGGGTCGTATATGCCAGCGCAACCGGCGCTTCTGAGCCTCGCAACATGGCCTACATGGTTCGATTGGGTATGTGGGGTGAGGGTACGCCTTTCCCGGAGTTCAACGGTTTTATCACTGCCGTGGAGAAGCGCGGTGTCGGCGCGATGGAGATCGTAGCGATGGACATGAAGCTGCGCGGCATGTATATCGCTCGGCAATTGAGTTTTCACGGTGTTGCCTTCAAGATCGAGGAGGTGCCTCTTTCCAAGGATTTCACGAAGGTTTACGATCATTCAGTGCGACTGGTGAGTTATGCAAAGGTGAAAGGATATAAACGCTCTTATTATTAAATCTTTTATTCGTAATCACGACGCGATCTATTTCGATCTAGTGGGTGGAAGCGATGCAGAGGTTCCAGGAAGCGGCAGAGCTGATAGACGCGGAGAATCGCATGAAGAAGACAATGTGGGGCCAATTCTGGTCGGCGCATCAACGTTTCTTCAAGTATCTTTGTATCGCCGCGAAGGTGAAACATGCGGTATCCGTGGCTCGTGAGGCGGTCAAATGTGGCAAATGCGTGGTGATCGGTTTACAGTCTACCGGCGAGGCACGTACTTTGGAACAGTTGGAACGTGACGACGGTGAACTCAGCGACTTCGTCTCTACCGCAAAGTCAGTGGCGTTTTAAAAATTAAAGAGAGGATCTTGGGGAGTGTAAATTTATATTGCTAATGTATCTAATGATCATTTACAGAGGAGTACTGCAAACGCTAGTGGAAAAACATTTTCCCGCACCGGATCGTAATCGCATTCAGCGTCTTCTCGGTTTAGAACCGCCAAAATTCAAATTAGACGACGACGATATGGACGGTGCTGGCGGTTCTGCGGGAGGCAGCAAGAGGAAGCCGATCCGGCAAGCGGCACAACGTGCGACGAAGAAAGTGCGGTCCTGGTCGTCGGAAGATGAGATATCGGACGAGGACAGGAATGGCGCTCACAGTTCCGGCTCCGAATACAAATTAAGTGGCACCGAAAGTGAGGACGATCACCACACGGACGAAGAGAGTAACGTCAGCTCCGATTTTAATCCGTTCTTCAGCGACAGCGATTCCGACGTTGGTAAATGTCAATCTTATAAATTTTTATTCTACAACCAGACCTCTTTTTTTTTCAGTTGAAATTATTACATTGTGGTTGAAGAAGAATTTACAGAACTATGTATTTCTCATGTTTCTTTAGATCCCTGGGATAGGCGAAAGAAAAAGGGCAAGAAAGGGCAGAAGAAACCCGCGAAGAAACGTTTGAGCACGCAGGATAAAATCCAGTCGATGCTGGTGCATAAACAGTCGAGCAATAAAAATAAGCGCAATGGCGACACGGCGATTAGCGGGCCTATGGGCGCTATGGGCGGAGGTGTGCCTCATAATCAGGCCCCGCCTAGAGACGCCATCGAAAGGGCTTGCAGCATGAAGGAGGAGTTATTATCGCAAATAGAGGCTCTTGGCGAGCGATTGCCGCCAAATACGCTAGACCAATTGATAGACGAACTCGGCGGACCGGAAAACGTCGCAGAAATGACGGGTAGAAAGGGTCGTGTCGTGCAAAGGGAGGACGGTGGAATAGAGTACGAGTCCAGGTCAGAGGTGGATGTTCCTTTAGAAACTCTTAATTTGACGGAGAAACAAAGGTGTGTATTGAGTAAAAATTGTTACGTGAATAATTTTGCGTTCACTCTTTCCGCACAAATTTTTAAGATTTATTAGGATGACATTATTTTCTATAATGATCATCATCTATATCAATCCTTCGAGAGTTTAATATTGATGCTCAATCGAATATCCTCGTATGCTTCAGGTTTATGGACGGCGAGAAAACCGTAGCGATAATCTCCGAAGCGGCCAGTAGCGGTATATCGCTACAGAGCGACAGGCGAGCTAGGAATCAAATGCGACGTGTGCATATCACGCTCGAGTTGCCGTGGAGCGCGGACAGAGCGATACAGCAATTCGGACGAACGCATCGATCGAATCAGGTCAACGCGCCGGAATATATATTTCTTATATCGGATTTGGCCGGGGAGAGGCGATTCGCCTCGATCGTCGCGAAGCGTCTGGAAAGTCTGGGCGCGCTAACGCACGGCGATCGTCGCGCGACGGAGACCCGAGATCTCTCGCAATTCAATATCGACAACAAGTACGGTCGCGCGGCTCTGGAAGCGACGATGAAGACCATAATGGGGTTTGTATTAAAAAGTTAAAATACACTGAAAAATCATCTATACGAAATATGAGTGTTCTAACTCGATTTGATAATTTTAGATATGAGCCGCCGTTGGTACCACCACCTCAGGATTATCACGGTGATTTCTTCAAGGACGTGGCGGACGCGCTAGTAGGCGTCGGTTTGATTTGCAACAGCGAGAACTCGCCTGGCGTGCTCACGCTCGACAAGGATTACAACAACATGTCGAAGTTCCTGAATCGAATCCTCGGGATGCCAGTCGATCTGCAAAATCGTCTGTTCAAATACTTCACCGACACGCTCAACGCCATTGTGACTCAGGCCAAGAAGACCGGTCTCTTCGACATGGGTATTCTTGATCTCGGTACAGCAGGCGAGAACGTTCGCAGGGTGCGTATTTTCCGGTTTCTGCGGAAGCACGCGACCGGCAAGGCGCCAACGGAACTGCACGTAGTTCACGTTGAACGTGGTATGAGCTGGTCCGAAGTCATGGAAAAGTTTGTGGAGCTGACTGGAGCCAAGGAGGGTTTCTATCTGAGTCATCAGATCCGCAATGGCAAACAGACGGCTATTCTCGCAGTTGTGGTGGACAGCAGCACCAAGAAGAAGTCCGAAAGCAAGAAGGATCAGTTTTATATGGTGTACAGGTACAGTCTTTGAAAATCATTATTGTATCCACTTTACCACAATTTATCGCGAACAAATGCATTATAATTCTTGACATTGGAATAATGATTACGTATTGTATTGTACAGGCCCAATACTGGTCTGCAGATACGACAAGAGACTCTAGGCGAATTAGAGAAGAAGTACAAGAAGGTGAGCTCAGACGAGGCGGAATCGCATTGGATACAGCAGTACGAGGCCTCTGTGAACACGTGTTCGCACGCGTATTGGAGTGGCAACTGTAAAAATGCCACCCTCGGCATAGATTGCGAAGTGGGGCTAAGAAGACGTTCCTATAATATATTGGCTGGTTCGGTTCTGAGCGTTTGGAGCCGCGTCGAAAATGTGCTCGCCGCACGGTCCAGGCATAACTCTAAGATGCAAGTTATACGATTGCGTACGGGTAAGTCGAGTTTAAGTACTATTATCTTTTTTTTTTATTAACGTTCCGATAAGATCTGATCTGAAAGTGTCTACAACAATTTCCAATTTTTTTCGTCCGTGATAGATGAAGGATTGAAAATTGTCGGGACGCTTATCCCGAAATCTTGCATGGAGCCGTTGCGTCAAGCGCTCTCCTCCGACGCGGAGAAGACGGAGGAGCAGACGTTCTAAGCGCCGAGTCTCAAGGGTAAGATTTCCCTTCTCGAGAGATAATTTCCGCGAGCAATAATAAAATTACTTTATCGTTGTAGATATGAATTAGGACCAAGCGAGACTCTCAACGTGATGTAACATGCCGCGACTGTAGGAAGACCCTTTTTTTCCTAAATCTTTCGTCCAAACGCGAGAAGAGGAGTGAATTACGAGCGCAACCGCGTGATTACGTATGTCCGTGTTTATTACTTGCCTGGAATCGTTAAGACGTGGCACCAAGTAGATTCCGAATTGAATCTACTAATCAGCGTGACAAATACGACTAAACGCTTCCGATTAACCATCGACAAGGCTAAGATCACAACTTGCTGCTTATTTCTTTGTCATGTCTATGCAATCGTTTGCGATAAATTGTAGCATTCACCCGCCACATACCAACGTAGATTTCTAAGTAGTTAGATTCTTTTTATCATTTCCCATATTATATATATTATATATACGTGCCCCTGCCACGCTGATTATAATTAGAAAAGGAAGTTTATTTTTTATGTCGTCGCCGTTTATCATATTTTTGCCCATGAAATTCTAGCAGACGGACGTAGCACGTGTGGCACGTAGTATAGGATGAATACTCTATTTGTCCCGACTGTACCGCGGGAGAGAGTAATCGCTTAGAAGAATGACAGAGCACGAGAGAGAGTGGCAGAGTATTTTCCTTGTAGGTAATGCGAAGTATAATCGATTAATAGTCCACGATTTTAGGAACGCGTTCAGTTCTAAGCTAGCCCGTAGCGCCTAACGTCCGAAGAGCATCGACTGTTATCGTAGAGTAGTGCCAGTATTTTCAGTTAAACGTGATAATATCGAGGGAACGAAAATCGAGAATAGCAAAGTGCGGTCGAGGCAATCGGTCCTCTTCGGAAGGTATAGAGGTATACGCGATAGCTTCGGTTTTTGTTTGGTCGTTAAATCGATCGGACAATTAGAAAGGCGTTAAACGCATACACATGCTACTGCTACCGTTACTACTATAGCTACCATTATTACTATAAATTACTGCTACTGCTATACTAGTACTAGTGCTCTACCGTTACAAAAAACTATCATTAATATTACCTAGATCTAGAGAGACGAGGTAATCTCATGTGTATCGTAAGTACGTGCTTTTTCAATTCTAACAGAATTTAAAAGACGCGACTTAATGTAAGTGCCAAGTTATATGTTCTATTATTTTCTTTTTTCTCCCTTTTTTTATTGTTGGCAAAACAAATCGATTAAAAAATTGATTTTTATTAAATGATTTTTGTTTTGTTCAACATGTCGTTCAAGATATTGTAAGGAAAAAAGTCACATTTCCGACAAGCAATTCGTGAGTATTATCTATTAAATAGTAGTCCAGTACATAAAAAGATATGTATGAAAGTAAAATAAGAAAGTATTTTTGTGATATTCCAAAATATTACATTAAACCAGAATTTTTTATTTCTCAGCAAATGAGCCATATAATTTTTTTTTGTTCGTCTATATTTTTCTGCGTGGTTTTACGATATTTTGAAACGAAACGTAGAAACGTCCAGTGTCCGATACCTTCCTATATACCTCAACGAGATATTTGCCGAAATTGCACGATCGCCCCGTCTCTCGACGATCTCCACCTATAACTAATTAGCCTTAAAACATAAAAAAAAGGAAAAAAGAATTAGATTGAAAAAAAAATAGTACATACAGCCGATATATTTATATTCAGATGCATAAAACTAGCAACCAGTGCGGCCTGCGTGTATATTGAATGTAGATTGTCTGTGTCCGTTTGTACGTCTGAACGAGATTCGAAGAACGAGTGGTGATATGGGCCTCGCGATCCATCATCTCTAATGGTATAATAGAACTTCAAAGATGCAGACTTAGAGCGTAGAGTACTATCGGAACAGTTGATTAGCATCAAGTCGTGATTAGAATCCTCATTTTAGTGATTTAACTCTTAAGAGCGTGCGTATGATGCGTCTGTGTGTGACGAATGAGAGAAAGAGAGAGAGAGAGAGATTCGTCATCCACCTGTTTCCACAGTTATCGTCTTAAAGGATCGTCCCGCAGTAGTACGCAGTAGAAACAACCGCGTGATTCTCTAACGACTATATATTACATTTATAAACGAGATCGATCGAGGGAAGAGCAACAACGTCCGATTGTAAAATATCTACTGAATTGACTATATCAGTATCTCCTTTTTCGCGACGCTCGGAAAAAGAACGGCGAAAGTGCGATATATTTAACATTAGAGCGAAGATTTCATTTTTGTCGTAGATTTAGTTTTTTTAGCTACTATCGCGGTTATTTGTAGAGCGTGAAATATTAATTATTGCGTTACTTTAAGTTAACGAGATCCAGGAAGCAAGAGTAGATACGATTGTCGAAGGTATTACCCGCGTACAATTCAGAGCTCGATTTCCACGATCCGCGACAGACGGCAATTAAAAATTCAGGCGCAGGATTTTAATACGGGAAGTTGTAATTTATAGGAAGCTCTAATGAAACTAAACGAAATGTAAATATATGTAATCGAGGCAGCAAGAGAGGTGGAATTTTAGAACGTACGGGACGTTTTGTATTCGGTATTTTTTCTTTTTTTTTTTTTTTTTTTGTTCACAATTGTATCTCGCTTGAGTTCCTATCTTCCAGAGGTAATTTATAAATGTGATATTTAGTACACGTGGAAACAGGCGTCGCGCTTTCTAGTGAAAATGATTATTCCCTTTTCTAAACGTGCTGTGTTTTCGCGGATGACTCACGACGAACGAGCGAGTGCGCTGAGTGTATATATGCGTGTATAAATGTCTCTGTGTATGTAAAACCAATTCTTACCCGAAACGACGACGATACTCACCATTTTCGCGTCCGAGAGCTCTTTTTTTTTTTAAACACTCATTCTGCGTTTCATCGAGACGATTTGATTTAACGCTGAACACCCCCTTTTTTGCATAACGAAAAAGAAACTGCTGAATCAGTATGTATCATCCTTTCCTTTTTATTATCATCAAAATATGTTAAGTGACGCAGAATTCAAAAACTATTGGTTTATACAGATACGAAATATAATGATTTTACCGCAAAATGTACAAATCTCTGAGGATTGTCTCCCTACGAAAACCTATTTTTCTTATAAGATTACGAAATCGCCACAGGAACGAAATACATAAATAAATATTCCTCGCGTATTCCTTCCTTCGATTTCTAAAATTATTCGAAAAATCCACACAATTAGCGCAATTATTAGAGAATAAAGATCATCATATTTTAACATTTATTAAGTTAACGTGTCAAACGTGGATGAAAGTTCCGCTTACATCATATATTCCCACGTCTTGTACTTCGGTATAAAAAAACTATACAGATTCTTCTTTTCGTGCACTTCGTACGCAAGTGGTGGCAGGATACACTTGCTCAATCATTCAAGCACGTATTCAATCTTGCATACTCTATTATACTAAATTCCCTACGGTGTTTATTAGATCTCCATAGTACCTCTTAAACGTATGTATATCTTTCTTAGAACATACATACATGTATTGTTCTAAGATTACCGTGAAACGTATTGCAAAAATTCAATTCGGTGAAGTGATCGCTACTTGAAGATGGAAGTATTCTTTGATATCTAGTGAAAGGCATACAGAAGCATTAAAAACGTACAGACTCCGATGACGAGACCGAGTATAACGGAGTCTCTTCTCTTACGTAGATTTATCCTCTGCATTAGGCTGTTCACCGCCGGGAATCGATTGGAGATATCGTTGAATCGGGTTCGTATACGTTTGAACGCCTGCCTCTGTGTCATCAAGTGATCCCGCGTCTCCATCGCTATGCTTATTTGGTCATTGATCAATCGGTCGGAGCTAAAAAAAAGAAGGTACATTACGAAATATAAATATTTTCAGAACTTTTTAATGCAAATAAATATATAAGATATTAATAAAATATATTTCAATGTTATTTGTCACAGCATCATTAACAAGGCTTACTTGTGAATGTGTTGATTTTCCTTGACATACATTTCGCGCCGATTCAATCCGCTCGCACTTTTATAATTGCTATACGAAAAAGAACATAAGATTGATTTAGTTTTCATTGATAATATAATCTGCAATGTATATAACATAAATGACAGATACTCGTACGCACTCTATTTCTTTACGGACGCTGCCTAGAAGATCCTCGCGGTCCTTCCTAGCCGTGAAGTTGTTTCTGATCTTGTTGAACTCCAGCTTGTAATCTTTCAGTATCTCCTTGTGGCGCTGCATCGTATGCAACATAGCTGCTCCGTTCGGCTGCAACTCGCTCATCCTCTCGTTTATGGACAACAACTGCGTTCGATCAATGTTTAATCAATACATCTGTTTGCTCATTAACGTATGTATATATTATGATATACAGGAGAAAGAGGAATCTACCTTGGAGAGCAGCGTCTCGAGCTCCGACGCCATGTTCTCGAACACCTGCTCCTCGTCCAGGAGAGGGACCTCATCGGCGCTGACATGCCTCGCGCCTGTGTTTATGCCCAGCTTGCTGAACGCCACTAGCTTCGCGTCGATCTCATTTTCCAGATGTCTCGCCTGCTTCCTCAGATCTGCAACAGCGGCACGCGTGACTCAGCTGCAATCTCTATGCACGAGACGTGAAAAAATAAAGGAGTCAACAAAAGTAGAAAGCACGCGCGCTCTTTTTTTTTTTTTTTATAATACAACGTCGCGAGCGGATCGCAAACTGTATGACGTGTGGGACGACAGAGAATAACGTCATTATCTAGGATGACACGCGATCCAAGGTGATCCTGCATTTTCGGATTTGACACTTGTCTGGCAATGTAAACAAAGATCGCGAGGCGCTTTTTTTTCCTCGAACGTCTAACGGTACCCGCGAGCCTCGCTGCATCCTGCGACAGACGAGGTCTTACCTTCCCAATCGACCGTGCCCAACGAGCCAGCCATTTATCGTGAATCGCACGCGTTCGTGGTTGACATGTAAAACGTCACATAACACCCTTCCTCCGCTTCCTCCGATGTGTCGAGCGGGTCTAGACGAACGGGGAGCAAAATGCAGCACGAGATCACTGAGAGGCGCTCATCACCTGCACTCTGCACGGCCTGCACCTCGCTACTTATTTCATTAAGCCCGTCTCAGACGATTCAATTCCAATTCCAAGTTGGAGATGAAAACTTCGACCAATCAAATAACATTAATCTTAGTTCGTTTCGTTTTGACCGAATCTCCAGGCTCTGGCTGTTTATTTTTTTGATCTGTTTCTTTTTTTTTTAGTACTATGTTATAAATAATATTTATATCTTGCTCTTATAACTATAAGGTGTGAAAAATTTGTATCTATCAAATTACAGCTTAACCAATCAGATTCGTTTTTCGGAAACCGATGTTTTCCGAACGCAGCCTTGCGTTCGTGTTTACACATACTGACAATACTGACATACGGATTACATACGGCATTCCGGCATTCCGCGGCATTCCGAGCACAACCCGGAGCGGTATTGTTAGAAGATGGTGTGGCTCGTGCTCATTCACGATTTTTTTGGTGTCTTTCCAGTATTTTCGTCGCGTCTGCTCGTGCCGTTCGCGCGCGACGCCGCGTAGGACGGGACCAAAGTCAAAGTGGGTGTTGTTCCCTCGCGAATATTTGTAAACACAGTCAGCAAATCTGGATGAGACCAGGGAGAGGATGATCGCCGCCTCAGAACCGGTGGTAAAGTCGTTTGTTAAGATTATAACTGAATAATTATCAAAATTATTGATTTATTTATCCTGTGCTGCGACTAAGCACGGGAAAGTACAGCCAATAATAGGTACAAAGCAGGAGAGTTTTGCATTAAGGATGTTTGGTACAATAGTAGCAAAAGGACTGATTTTGACGAATATGCTCTTCTCATATAGTTTGAGTAATAAGAATTGTGCAGAATGTTATCATTTATTCGGGACTAGAGCGCAGAAATGTTTTTGTTGCTTTTTTCCTGAGAATTTTCGAATTCTATGGCCAAATCTAACCTAAAAATTCAAATTAAAATCCTTATAACTTTGGATTGCGTCAGTGAATCGACTCCGGCTTTTGTTTTAAGTCTTTCAACATATATAAGAACAATCTGTAAAATTTTTGTTAAATTCTCATTATTTTAAGATCGGAAGAGCACACGTCTGAACTCCAGTCA